CCAACAACTAAAATATTTTAACAATCACTTAAAAAAGTGGGGGTACCTTCAGATCCAAAATAAGAAAAGAAAAAGTGGTTCTTGAAAAGTAGAGAAGAAGAGAAAGAGTAAAAGAGATGGGGAAAAGCCAATGATGATCTGCCAGCCCCACTCATTGTTTATATACTCATAAAATAAAACTGATTACAATGGCTCATATGCCTTTAATAGGGAGGCTACTGCTACCAGCATAAAAACAATCCCAAAAATAACATAAATCAATGGGCCTTGGGCCAAATAATACTAACTAATGATTCTAAATAAGAAAAAACACAAGAAACTGCTGAATCTCGCCTGTTTCCCTTGTTCCACATCATCTACATGTCATGATTGTACTAGAACTGCCATGATTGACTCATTGGGTGAAGTTAGAAAAAAATGGGACTCCTTTAATGTACCATGGTTATAATATGATTCTTTACGACCTTGATATCCTTTCAAAAACCACTTTGTCTGCAATAATTAAGTAAATTCAGAATAGATGTTGTAAGTCACATTGCTTGGGGCTATCAAAGGAATGTAGAAGCACATAAATTGATGTGAGTTAAATCCATCCAAACTGTTGGTTTGAACTTAGACAAATTCACATTAGTATGAGTTAGCATCTAAATGAAACTTGTTTGTTTGAAGAACTTTCATTAGAAACTTGAAGCTAAATGGATATACGATTGTTGTTGCTTCAAAAAACTTGTCCACCCGGATTCTTATAGTTTTAGATTTTTCCCTTTTCTTGTTGCTAGGATATGGAAAATTGATGAGAGATTTTTGTGGGAACTAAGGTAAAACGAGAAAGATCATAGGATGAATTGGAAAATTGTCTCTAGGAGTAGGGTTGAAAGAGGATTTTGATTAGTTAATATCCAGAAGAGAAATGAGGCTTTGTTGGGAAAATGGTTGTGGAGGTTGTGGAGATTAGCAAATGATAGGGATAAGTTGTGGGCTAAGGTAATATTGAGTATTCATGGAAAGGTAGATGACTGGGATTTTGGCAAGGACTACTAGAGCTTTTTCTTAGAGATCCGTACATGAAGTTTTAGGAGCACTTTTGGTGGGAGATGTACCACTGAAAGATCATTTTCCCTCTTTATTTTCCATCTCCCAGTATAAAGGGGAGCTTGTGTCTAATTTTTTGGTTCCTTCTGAGTTGAACTTTGGGTTCAATTGGGATTTGGATCTTAGAAGAGGCCTTAGGGATTTAGAAGTTGGAAATGTTTTAGAATTACTTTAGATTTTGAATGGGGTGGTATTGGACCCTTCAAGAAGGGATAGTAGAATTTGGACCTTGTCCCCTTCTAGTGCTTTCTCCTGTGATTCTTTCCTTAAATCCCTGGTGCAATGCACTAACAGCAATGTCCAAACTTTTCTAGTAATGGAAGTATGGGGTAAACCGATCACTCCAAGGATTGGTGCTTTTTGTTGGAAGCCTTCTTGGAAAGATGCAACACTTGTGACCTACTCCAAAGAAAAAGTTTTAATTGGTGCATCCTATGCAAGGCTAATGGTGAAAGCTCCTACCACTTATTAATTTCTTGCCCCTTTGTTTCTGATATTTGGTTTTGGTTTCTATGTTCGGTTATAGGTGGACCCTTCCACCAAATATACAAGGCTTGTTTGCTACATCTTTCTTTAGGTGGTGGAAGAAAAGGGGTAGAATTATGTGGAGACGTGGAGCAAGTTTCTCTGATTGGTGAGAGAGGTCTACCTGGAAATTTTCCATCTACAAGGACCATGTTGAAACAATGACCATAGTATGGTCCTCTGATGAATTAACTTGAAGTCTGCTTTATTGGTTATGTCTTTGAGTCATATTAATATGTCTATGTTGATATCTACTACACTCGGGTCCAATGGTTTCCCCTAACACAGGGAATTAATTCCATCTGGTTAATATTCCTTGAGAAGGATCTTTCTCTTGATCACTTTAAAAAAAAAAAAAACGCCGGTGCCGTCAGTTCCAAGATAGATGTTGTATGTTTTGTGTTTTGTCTGCCAGTCTATGGGAAAATTTTTCTTATTGTTGCTTGATCAAGTGCTTGCTCTGTTCCTGATGTCATCCTTTCTTGGCGTTACTATTGGTGCATTCTAAAGACCATCGTTTTTACTATAATCCTTTTGTCAATAATATTTACTTTCTATCCTTTTACATGTGCACATGTTATAGCAAAAGTTCTCATAGCAAACAATAAGGTTTCTATATATACAAAAAGTTTTTATGACACAATCTCCATTTCTTTGTTTAAAAAGGAAAATAGGGGTAAGAAATCTTTGCTTATGACACAATCTCCATTTCATCCATGGCTGCTAATCCACAAACTTGTTGTGTTGTTAACGAAGCAGACATAAGGACCAGAAAGCTCACAAAATCACTGGTTTACCAGGTTGACCAATATTGTAATTGTCAGCCTGTCAAAAGACTGAAAACCACCCAAATTCAGGAATCAGAAAGCTCCATCCGATCTGGTCCAGGTCTGACAATACTGGTCAGACCATAAAACTTCTCCCTATCAAGATCCCCCCAAAATCTACCTCCATTTCACCAGACAATAACATATATGATTAATTGGGGGCAAATAGCACCCGAATTGTTTCTCAAGTATTAACAAAGCTTGGGGAATAAATTTTAATTCTGAATAAAAATATATGCAGAGTGGCGTTGATTCCATTCTAGCTCTCAAATCAATGAGGTTGTTTCTCAAACCAAGTTAAAAGTTAGCTTGTATCCTTTGATAATAAATCTTTTTTTTTTTTTTTTTCCTCACTCGAATACAAAAAACCATATTTTTCAAGACTTAACATTGGTTTCGGTCGTAGATAAAGTAAACTTTTTAAGTACAAATAAAACCTTAGTATCCTAAATCAAATAATAATAATAATAAAAAAAAATCAACCTTCAAGACTACGGTTTGGGCCTTACCATTATTGTGGTTCTATTGAATGGGATTAGGGTGTCAAACTAAAAGCACTTGGCCCACAACAAGATTGCTCATTCTCTTGCTCAGACTGGATTCAGTGCCCAGGAAACTTACATTGGATCGTACCCAGATTGGTTACTTCCTGTTATTCAAGCAGATAGCAATTCAGACTAAATTTATTGCCCCCGAGCCTTAGTTTTAGGCGTTTTTTTTTTGTTGCAGTTTGTTCTTAAGACTTTTTTTTTCTTGTAAACTCTTTTTCTGGGGTTGTGGTCTTGTTTAATGAAAAGTTTCTTTTAGCTTTAAAAAAGTGCCAAAAAAGATCAAGGCCTGGTAATAAAAAATGAGCAGCTTATTAAGATTTGCATTGATAGTCTTAGGTCTGTTTAGTTGATAAGAATATCGTGCTAGAATTGGAATTGGAATGGTCCATTGGGGTTTTGGCACAACTGTGAAATTCCCTGTTATTATGCATTGCCACATGGAATATGTAAGAAATATTCAATCCTTTTTTACTGAATAAAGGATCCCATGTTTGTATTTCGTAGGCGATATAATGCAATCTATAATGAGGATTGGTTTTATCTCGTCCTTTAGCAGATTGGAATCCTTGAATATAGGTGATGACTTGATGTATTGTGATCATCGTCATAAACCTGGAGGAAGCTTCTCTGATCGACAGACCTACTTTGAAAATTACATGAAATCTGTTTTATTGGTTTTGGCTTTTCAATCAGGTTAATATTTTTGTTGAAACCTATTGCATTTGGATCCAAAGGGTTTCCCCTGATATTGAAGATTCCATTTATCTAATATGTCTTGAGAAGGATCTTTCAGTTGATCACTTAAAAGAAGATCACTTAAAGAAGTGGAGTACCTTTAGATCCAAAATAGATGTAATGTGTTTCCAGTTGTGGTCTTTTTAACACTTATCGTATTGTTGTTTGATCATGTGCTTGCTCTATTCCTAATGCCATCCATTTTTGAAATGTAGTTGGTTAAATGTTATGTACATCATTATCATGGCTCTTATCATGCTATGCTTTTACATGTGCACTAGCAGAACGGGCCTGTGCTGAGCACGGGCAAATGGGAAAGCAACGAAACAATTTTGAATAATCGGGAGATTAAAAATGAAGGAAAATTTTTAATATAATTTTCAATTAAAAATCGAACTTTAGCAATTTACACTAATTCTGTGTTACCTAAATAACTGAATTTATTCGTACTTGTTAAAGAATGGATACAAGAGAGAGTCCTTAAATTTTAGAATACCAATAAAGTTGGAGATGGCACCGCAATAAGACCATGCAACATGTAAAATGTGTAAACATTTTTTTTACAGTTGAAAAAAAAAACGAAAAGCATAAATGGTTATTAATTATTGGCCAATTCAGGATGACAAAACTTGTTTGTCTAATATGGTTTCAGGGTTTAACCCTGTGATACCTTTAGCAGCATCAATTGGATCAACATTTGCAAGATTACATCAAAAGGTTAATATAAGATTAGGTGGACCACAAAGTGAAAAGTGTTATTGAAAACATAACCCGTGTGTTGTCGTGCCAGGCCGGTCGGTCCAAATTCGTGCTGTGCCGTGGGCAACTCATCCATCGCTAATATCGATCAAACAGTGAGGGATTCTAAAAACCAGAACCTCAATTATACTGTTTGCTGATGCCAATCAGTCCAAAATAGTGTGCAGACATGCCTTTTGATTAGATTGAATTGGACCTGTGATCCATTTCTAGTGGATTGACATTGGACTGGATCGGATGGATCGGATGGGAAGAAATCAGTCTAATTGACACCCTTAGCTGTGTCGAACTGTCGATGAACCCACGTAACGAATTTCACCTCCGGAACGTTTCGTGTCAAGATTTCAAACACGTGGCATAAAAGGTCAGTTTGGTCAACAATGACTTCAATGCTAAATGCTTACTACCCACACGACCGAAATACCCACCTGTTTCGTTTGAGTGCAGATAAATAGCCACATAGATAGCGGCAAACAATTGCATAATGGACACGTCATAACCCATAACCCACCAGTGCGCAATTTAGCAAAATGAGAGAGAGAGACTGAGAGATGAGAGGACGGACCGGGCGACTTTGCCAACTGAGAACGCCATTGATGAAGATGGCAGCGGCGACGGACAAGGGGATGCCACACCCGATCGCACGAAACCCTGAAACATATATTAGCAAAAGTGCTCGATCGATAAGATAATTAATAGAGCGATCGACGATAAACATTAAGGAGAATAAAAAATAAAAAATCGCAGAGAAGGGAACCTTCGAAGGTCTCCCATGGATAAATAAGCCCATCTTTGTTTCTGTCGAAGAAGGCAACGTGCTTCTGGAGAGCAGTCTGATCGCCATTAATGGCCTCCCCGCCATTAACACCTGCAATGCTTTGCAGGCATTAATTAACCTTAAAAAAATAGGAGTAAAGACTATAAAATTAAACACAAAAATGAATAGAGAAAAAGAAGGTGAACTCGCTTCGTGTGTTAGCAGAGTTTGCTTTGGACCCAGTAGAGGGATTGGCAATGAATGCTTTATCTTTATTATTAAGGGAGAGATTGATGGAGAGATGAAAGGGCTTAGAAAACAAACAAGAGTATAAGTAAGGAGGAACAGAGCAAGAGGAAACGTTAAATCCAGGTAGGAACATTTTTAATATATTTCTTCGCTTAGAATCTAGACACTGCCCTTTCTTCATGTTCTCTTTCTGGTTGTGTTATACCAGAGCAATGAAGAAGAATTGAAGAGGGTACTACTACTACGTGTATGAAGCAAAATATCCGTAAAAGGAAAGAGTGATGTACGTGTTACATTTTCTGCCTACAATAAATCATAACAGATAGCTTGTCAGCGTGTCACCTGTCGATGGTGTTGGGCATTATATGTAACGAATGGAATCGAGATTGGTTTTAACATGTTTCTGAAACCAACAAATTATCTCTTTTACCATAAAAATTTATTTTTTTCACGTATTATATAAGATTATCTAAACAATTGGTTCGATTTTGATTTGGTATTTTGAAAAAACTAAAGGAAGGTACCAGTTCAGTTTCTATTTTATCATTACGAAAAACTGATAATTAACCGGTATAATTTATTCTAATATATTTATAATTAATAAATCATATATTATATTATGTTATATATTTCTAATATTTATATTATAATTTTATATATTTATTTATAATATATTATAAATATAAAAAAGTAAGAAATCAGTGTTGAAAAGCAGAAAGGTGTGGGCCAATCAGTGGCTCACCTTATTTGCAATCCGTGGCCCATCGAGCTGAGCTCACCATTTATTTGGTGGCACAACAAATTAATCGGTGGCACACCACTTGCAAACCACCGATTATGGTTTGCTTAACCATGAAGAAAATTTTCTTAAATCCCCATTATACCCCTCAGATCAAGTATAAATAAGAGTTCCTCCTATGTTATTTCATTATATTCTCCATTTCATTTGAATGTATAGTGTATATAGTGTGTTGAGAGGAGTATTGAGTTGGGTGTATTGAGTGTTGGGTACATGTGTGATTCCGGTGAGGTCATTTTCTATTTTCTCCTATTTATAATAAGAAGGAAGCTCCGAGTTGCTGCCCGTGGACGTGGGCAATTTGGGCGAACCACGTAAATCTGTTGTTCTCTCTTCTTTTTTTTTATTGTTATCTGCTTTTATTCTTTTTCTGTGCATGTACAGATTACATTATTTCCGCTATGCAATTCCAACAATTGGTATCAGAGCCACACGGTTCTGTTTCGAGATTCTGCCGAAATCTGTATTTGCTGTTCCGATATTGAACGTATTGAATATGACAAGTTCGAGCTCTACCCGGTTCGACATACCGAAATTCAACGGATCCAACTATGCAATTTGGAAGCTGAAGATGCATGTTGTGTTGGTGAAAGAAGATTGTGCAATTGCCTTAGAAGGAAAAGAGAAGAAGCCTGCTGATATGAAAGACGAAGATTTTGAGAAGAAAAACCAGATAGCCATGGCTGATATTCTTCTTTCTTTAGAAAATTCGGTTCTATTCAACGTGTCCGAGGAAACCACTACCAAAGGTTTATGGGACAAGTTGCGGAATCTCTACGAGGGGAAATCAATGTCCAACAAAATCTTTCTTCGACGACAACTCTACCATCTGAGGATGAAGGACGGAGCCTCTTTGCAAGTACACTTGAATGAGTTCAATACTCTAGTAAGAAAATTAGCAGCTGTAGAGGTACGTATTAATGACGAAGAAAAGGTTGCTCTTTTGCTTTGTTCTATGCCAGACTCTTGGGATAGTTTGATAATGAATTTGAGCAATACTAAAAATCTGTCATTAGAATTTACTATTTCTATGTTGCTTATGGAAGAAACTTGTAGAAAAGTTGGTGAGAATTCTTCAGGTGACGCAATGATGGTACGAGGTAGATCGAATGAGACAAACGACTCTATCAAAAATCAAACGAGATCCAAGTCAAGAGGCAACAAGAAAGGACTCAAGTGTTGGAATTGTGGTAAGAAGGGGCACCTTCGAAAAGATTGTCGGTAACCCAAAGCAGAGCAAAATCGGCCCAACTCTAATAAAGATCGGCTTCAAATAATTCCCGAGGAAACATCGCAGAAGGAAGTGGTTCATCAGAAGATGGTGAGGTACTGTCTGTTGATTCTTGTGAAAATTTAAAGCATAACTGGATATTAGATTCTAGTGCTTCTTTCCATATGATGCCGTGTAGAGATTGGTTCTACACATACCAATCGTGCGATAGTGGGACTGCTTACATGGGCGATAATAGCACATGCAAAATAGTGGGAGTTGGAGACATTAGAATTACTATATTTGACGGCATCACTCGTACAATCTCTGGTGTATGCTATGTTCCTGAACTACGAAAGAGTCTCCTATCACTAGGAAAGTTTGATGAAGACGATTACAAGTTTTCTGGAAAAAAAGGCCAATTGAAGATCAGTAAAGGATCTATGATAATTGCAAAAGGCAAATTACAAAGGAAGTTATACCACTTGATCGGGGATACCATAGTCGGTGATGCCATCGTTGCAAATGTTGTGACCGATTCCGTCATGATTTGGCACAGACGTTTGGGTCATATGAGCAAGCAAGGACTTAAAGTACTTCTTGATCAAAACATACTTCCTGATTTAAAATCTACTTATTTGAATTTCTGTGAAGATTGTTTATTTGGGAAACACCACGGAGCTAGTTTTCCCAAGTCTAAAGCTAGGAGCAGAGAGGTATTAGATCTAATATACTCTAATATGTGGAAAGCTTCTACGGAATCTCTTGGGGGTTCATTATACTTTGTCTCTTTTATTGATGATTTCTCTAGGAAAGTGTGGGTATATTTGCTCAAACAGAAGAGTGATACTTTTTTCTATTTCAAGAAGTTCAAAGCTCTAGCTGAAAATTAGAAGGGGAAAAGAATTAAGTGTTTGAGAACCGACAATGGGAAAGAATATACCTCGAAAGAATTTGAAGATTTTTGCAATGAGCACGGCATTCTGAGACAGTATACGGTTCCACAAACTCCACAACAAAACAGAGTTGCTGAACGGATGAATCGTACACTTATGGATCGAGCTAGAAGCATGTTGAGTGCAGCTGGGCTGGAGCAGTACTTTTGGGCAGAAGTAGTCAATACGACATGTTACCTAGTAAATTGCTCTCCCACTACGGCACTTGATTGCAAATTTCCAGAAGAGGTATGGTCAGGAAACCTTGTTGATTATTCTTTCCTACGTACCTTTGGTTGTAAAGCTTATGTTTGGATTCCTAAGGAGCAAAGGACCAAGTTAGAGGCAAGGTCCAAAAAGTGTATTTTTTTTGGCTATGCAGAAGGTACAAAAGGATACAGATTGTGGGATCCTATTGCCCACAAGATAGTTGTTAGCCGAGATGTTGTCTTCAATGAAGATTCGATGCAGAAAGAATCAAGCTCTAAGACAGCAGAGAAAGTTGAAGTAGAATCTTTTCAAAAGATTCAAGAGCAACAAATTGATACAATTGTTGATGTACCTGAAGAGCACGTTGAAAATTTTGAAGGAGAGACTCACAATGATCAAGGTCGATCGAGGAGAGCTACAAGACCTCCTATCTGGCTTCAGGATTATGTAACAGTTTATTCTTGCATTACAGAAGAGCACGGGCCTTGTTCATACCAGGAAGCATGCAAATGTCCAAATGCTTGTTATTGGCAAATGGCAATGGAGGAAGTAATGGAAGCTCTGAAGAAAAATAAAACTTGGGACTTAATCAAACTACCTAAGAATCGAAAGGCCATTGGTTGTAGATGGGTGTACAAACTCAAAAAGGATATTAGCGGAAATATCGAAAGATACAAAGCTTGACTAGTTGTAAAAGGATATGCTCAGAAATCAGGTATCGACTTCAATGAAATATTTTCTCCTGTGGTTCAATTAACTACTATTCGTATTCTATTGAGTATGGCTGCAGTACTTGACTTGGAACTAGAGCAGTTAGATGTTAAAACTGCATTCTTGCATGGTAATCTTGAAGAAGAGATTTATAAGACTCAACCTGAAGGCTCTGTCGAGGACGACAAAAAGGATCTGGTTTGTTAGCTGACCAAATCACTTTACGGTCTAAAACAGGCGCCAAGGTATTTGTATAAGTGATTTGATTCCTTCATTGTGAGCTTGGGGTTTAGCAAATGTGAAGCAGATCATTGTACCTACACATACTTTGGTAATTATCACTTCATCATTTTGCTGTTATATGTTGATGACATGCTAGTTGCAGGTACTGATAAAGGAAGTATTTCAACACTAAAAGCTCGTTTAGCTAGGGAGTTTGACATAAAGGATCTAGGGGCGGTTAATCAGATTCTTGGGATGACGGTATATAGGGACAGAAAGAACAAGAAAGTCTGGATAACTCAAAAGAGTTACGTTCAAAGGGTATTGTGGCGCTTCAACATGCAAGATTCCAAACCAGTCAGTATCCCATTTTCTGTTGGTTACAAGTTGTCTTCGGAACAATCACCTAGCACTGGAGCTGAGAAGATAGAGATGTCCGACATACCATATTCATCAGCAGTAGGGAGCCTTATGTTTGCCATGGTGTGCACCAGACCAGACATTGCACAAGCAGTCAGTAAGTTTATGGCAAATCCAGGAAGAGATCATTGGACTGCAATGAAGAGAATCCTTCGGTATTTGAAGGGTACTTCTGAAATCTCCATTTGTTATAGTGGCCAAAGCTTAAAACTAGTTAGTTATGTGGATGCAGACTATGCAGGATATCGCGAAAATAGAAAATCAACTATTGGTTATGTGTTTTCTTTAGCTAATGGTGTAGTGAACTGGGCATCAAAATTGCAATCTGTAGTACCCTTATCTACAACAGAAGTAGAATATATGTCAGCTACACAAGCATGTAAAGAAAGTATTTGGCTAAAGATGTTGCTTGAAGAATTCCACATCAAGAAAGAAGTGGTGACTATTCATTGTGACAGTCAAAGCGCATTACACTTAGCAAGAAATCTTGTCTTTCATGCACGGACTAAACACATTGATGTACAGTACCACTTTATTCGTGATGTAGTTGAAGATGGGTAGATCTCGTTACAGAAGATCCACAGTAACAACAACGTTGTTGATATATTGACAAAGCCGGTGATGAGAGAGAAGTTCATCTGGTGCAGAACTTCTCTAGGGCTTGAAGCCACATAGCAA